GCCATGGAAGAGACAGGGGCCATGCCGGAGTTCGTAGGCGGAGCAGCAGAGGTAACACTCGGCATGGTGTTTTGATTGTGTAGTTCTGCGAGTGCCCTGACAAAGCCTTCAGCGAAACCTTCTTGCTCATCGGTAACATTTTTGGGACAGAGGAACTGGGTTGGGGTCGGAGTGGTAGTGATCAGTCCATTGCCTGACTGAATAATCAGTCTTTCCAGTTCAGGAGAAGCCAGCTTGAGGAGGCCAACATCTGGAGAGGTCAGGATATCAGCATTTTTGTTCCTCAAGTGGGGCTTGAGGTTACTGGAAGGGTCAGCCAGATTGAGAGTCATGTTCTGCTTCAGAACTTTGGGATTATTGTATCCATAAGCACCACTTTCTGGCTGCACAAAGGTAGCATTGATGGCATCGTCGTAGAATGTAGGTTCCATCTTTGCAGTCATAGAATACAGTCCACAAGTTTGTTCACCTATAGCCCAAAAAACAGACCTAGGAAAGGAAGCCGGTTTGTTACAACTTAAAGAAGTTCACAGCTGCCACAGTTACTAAGTAGGAACAGTTCTTATAACAACACTCTTTCAACAAGGAAGACACAGTTCAAAAGTGATCAATTAAAGTCTTACTTTTTTGCAACAAGGCATTGATTCGAGTCCCCAGTTTGGCTAGAAAAAAGTCAGACTCGAACAAACACAGTTTCACCTCAAAGACCCAGCATGCGCATCACTTCCCGACTGTGACTGTTGGGAGGGGATGGGGGAGGAAGACCCAAATAAAAGTTATTTTTCAAATTCAGAATCCCTTTCTCAGTCCAAGGTAGGAATAATGCTGCCGACACCTTCGGGGGGCCTCTTTATCGCTCCGGGCAAGGATGGAATCCAGAAACTTTTTGAGTCCTTTTTTTTTTTCCCTCCTCCGCCCCTTCGCGCTCCTCGTGGGAGTGTCCTGGGTCGGTCTGGAGCGTTTCCGAGTTTCAAACCCACTTGTCTAAGTCCTCTCCTTTCTCGCAGCGGCTGTCATAAAGCAGATCACCTCAAAGTCCCAGCCAGAAAAGCAAAGGGGGGGGAAAAAAGTTGCCACAAGTAGATCGCCCCGCTTCTTGTTCACAGAAGAGGAGGGGGGTGGTTGGTGGGGAAAAAAAGAAGAGATTCCCACGCTCGGCAACTTCGGGATCCAGACGAGAAGAGCTGAAGCGGTCCAGGAGGCAAAGCACTCGGGCGCTCCAAAAGGAAAGGATGCCGGGGCAAGTTCAGCTTTCGCGCTCCGGCTGTGGGGGATAGCAGCGACCCCGACTCGACTTTGTAACAAGGGAGCGCCGGCTCGCTCTCTTGAGCGTCAGTTTCTCAGGAATAGCCGCCCGGGTCCTGGTGGCGTCTGGAGCTGAAACTGGCCCTGCTGTGGCCGCTGGGGCTTCTTTTTCTCCTCCTCCTGCCGGACAGGAGCGCTGCCACCGTCGCTTCTCCCGCCGCCACTCAATCCCACTCTGAGCTCTTTCCCAGCGTGGAGCACAACACTTATCAGAGAGCAGTAACCCACTAAAAATAGCCCATGATGTCACCCCGGGGCCTTCCCATTGGCTACCGTCGCCTCTCAGGGGGAGGAGGGCGGTTGGGCCAGCCTGTTGCAAAGGCGCCCATCTCCATGGTCACCCCACCCCGATTAGTTTGCCGGCCCCTTTTCGCAAGGCATTGTGGGATGAGGTAATGCCTGAGCTCCGTGCAGGGCATTGTGGGCTGACGTATTGTTTTTGAATATCTGGTTACCCGCTTAAGCGCTCTAGCGGGGTTGGAGGAACCGGACAAGGAGGAGGGGGAAGGTGTCCTGCAACGGGACATACCAAGCTTGAAGAGGAAAAGAGGGGGGACGGCGCTCCGAAGGGCCAACTTCAAGATAAGAAGGCGCACTGGAGGGAGAAGCGACCTTCCCCGCCCGCGAAGAAAGCGATGATGTTTTGTTCTTGCTTTTCCCGGAAGAATGTCGCCTGATTCTAAGGCAGGCGGCCAATCAGGAGTCGAAGGACTGAAAAGTAGCTTTCTAATTCCCCCCCTCTCTCCCCCCTCCCTCTCCATCTCACCTCTTTCAATGCCCGGGAATAGAGTCCTCAGTGCGGACTCTCGGGTTGAGACAGAGCAGAGGAGGCGGGGGAGGGGTGTGATGGGCTGACGCTCACGTGATCCTCATCCCCCCCCACCCGCCTCTCGCGCCCTCCTCTCCGCCCCCGAGAATCCTGTTGCTCAGCAAAGCGCTTCCCGGGAGGGGGAAACGCGGGGGCGGGAGGGAGAGGTTCGTTGCCGCAGTTTGTTGGTGTTCCCGTGGCTGGGAAGCGAGTCCCGCTGACATCAAAGGCGGTCTCTTCCGAGTCCAGCGCTGCGGTGACCACCGGGCATTTTACGAGTCGGAGGGACTCCCTTTGGAAGCCGCGAACCTTCCCCTCAGAGAGCCAGGGAGACCCTCGCGAGGGCTGAGGGAAAAGCTTTTTATACCCGCGCGCCGCCCTCCTCCTCCGCGCTTTTTCTGAGGCAAACTTTCCGTAGCCCCCCGGCTGAGGGGTGCCGAACTTGAAAACCAAAAAGACGCTTCTTCGGGATCGTTGTCCCACCCTGTCCGCGGAGAGAAAAGCGGACGGTGGTCTATATTTCTTTAAAAAGGAGGAGGAGACGCCGAGACCCTTCGGTGCCTACTAGAACCACAGCGCAAGAGGGATTTTTTTTTTTTTAAGAAAGTTCATTTACTTATTAGTGATGTCCCGTCTTTAATATTTTAACATCTCTTCTCCCGCTTTAATCTTCAAAAATAAAAATAAAGTCACGTTTGAGTCAATTCCCGCCAGGAACTCCAGACTTTTTCTCTGGGTGCTCTTTCTGGTTAGATGGGAGTTTTGGTTTTTTGGTCCTCTGGTGGCGAGGAGTCAACCGGAGTCTTGTGAGGCGAGGTGGGATAAGGAGAAGGGGAAGGCTTCCCGCATTAGCGGCGGGGTCTGCGGGCAAACGGCGGCTTCCTACTAAACGGGCTGTGATCGCCAACAGTCGCAACACGTTTGACTGCTATCCTGGTGTTTTAACCCTGCCGCTCCCAATTTAAGGAACTGAATTAATCCGACACTCTAAACAAGCCGATCCTAAAACGCACCTCGCGAAAGCGAAGTTCCAACTTCTTTAGGAGTTTTCACTTGTGGGCAACTATGGCTCCTTCGCGACCTGTGGACTTCAACTCCCAGAATTCCTGAGCTAGCCATGCTAGCTCAGGAATTCTGGGAGTTGAAGTCCACGGGTCGTAAAGTTGCCCATCCCTCTCTGGTTTAAGTTCACAAGCAAGTGAAAGCTATGATGAGCTCTCCAGGAGTGGAGTTGGGAAAAAGCAAGTAGCCAGGAAGTCCTAAAATTTTGGCTTCCAGGATCTAGAATGGAATGTGGGAGGGCTGTGTTCAAAGAAAGCTCTACCTGGTACTTGAAATGGTTTCAAGTTGCACCCACAACTGCAGGGATAAACAAATAAACAAACAAAGAGTTGCTTCCTAACTTTTGAAAAGAAGGCGTTCTGATGTTAAAACCCACCTCTGAACATATAATTGGAGATTAAGCAGACATGCGTCTACTATAAAAACAGTAGTAACAAAGTATCAAATTGGGTGGCTTTTGAGTTGATTTAATAAAAGGATATTTTTAAATGATACTTTTTGGATTTTTTTAAAAGAGTTAAGGAATTTATTTATTTCATTTATATGCTACCCATCTCAAAGCAACTCTGGGTTTGCAACAATTAATTTTTTTTATTCCCGAACAGAGAGTAACCCTTCTCAACATCATGAAACTTACTGAGGTACTTAGGATTGCTCTGCTTCTCTGCAGTCAGCAGTGTCTTCAGGTATCAAGTGCCATTAAACATACACATTTAAAAAGGATAAAATGTGAGATTAGCGTGAAAGAAGATTACCAATTATGGGATGTTTGCAGCATTGCTGCTATAAGTCTCACTAGCCTCCAGTGCCAGATCAAGAAAGTTGGGCAATGGTTCAGAAATGAACAATGGGATATCACTATGTCTCCTCTCCTGGAAAACACTCTAATACAGGACAATGATAGACTGTGCTACTGGGTAACTGCCAGAACTAGCCAAATCTAAGAAAACAGAAGTAAACCTGTCTGTCTTGTCTTGTTTTGGGTAGCACAGAACTGTTAGAACTATCCAATAACCTATTTTCTTGATAGCCTTGTGTAGCTGTTGTCTGAAAACACTGCAAGAACCAGACCCCCTACTTGCTATTTCTGCTGTTATTGCTGCAGATGCTTAATTCAACAATTCAGTCTTCCTTGCTGAGACCCACAATCCCAGAACCATCGCTTCATTTTAAGAAAGCATTGCTTTCAGTAGTCCCTGCCTTCACCCTTGAGTTCGCTGGGCTAGCCAGCACATTCATGGGATCCTTAATTCATCCTGAAAATTATCCAAAGACTTACCAGAAAAGGGAACAAGTTGTTCCAAGATTGACCTCAAGAAGTTTGTAGCTAAAATCATGAATACAGATACATTGCATTTTGAACTTGTGATGGATCTTTATCCATATCTAGTCACCTGTATTTAGGCAGCTGTTAAGCAATAGGCAAATGGATTTCCCATAATGTTGTCACGGGACAAGATAGACTGAGCTTGATGTGCCTCTGCTCCTATACTTGTATTTCCATCACCTAAGGTAAAAATATTCTGCATTCTTATAGTAAGACTGCAGGCAATCATGTCAGTTCTCGACAAGATATCTGATGCTGGAATTTTCACTACCAACAATATCCCCTATAATGAAATGTCAATTTGTGAGAGCTGGCGTAGATTATCAAACTACACCTGCTTGGCTGCCTTTTGCAGGTTAGCTCCATTCTCAGTATCTGTGAGCCCATGTCTGAGATTTCATAGCCAGCTGTCCATGAGAATCATGGCCCTTTATTACCTCTGTGTGAAGCAAACAATGTTCTACTGGGTCCTAAAGCCTGGAGGATACTGTCAGTAGCAGAAAATGCCTTCTCCTTCCCCAGTAAGTGGAAGGGGTTAACAGGCTGTTTCAAGGTGTGTGAAGAGAATGCTTGTTACTATCAGGTCCTGTTGCTGGCAGCAACCCCAACAGGTCTTCCCTGTATATCTGTTACAGAGTGGGCACCACCTAGCTTCTGAATATGGTATGTCAGAATTCTAGATTTGAGACCAAGCAGCTGGAGAATGCTGAAATCTAATATCTTCACAATGCCAAATGGCATGTCCAGAGCCACCCTCTGGGTAATAACAGGTGTGACCTCTAATGACTTTTGGCTATCCTACTTTTCAAATTCTGACTACTGCTTGACTTAGCCTTAGGGCACTATGTTCTGCATTGAAGTAAATGTCTTGCCGTTGTTGACAGCACAGATTTTCTATTACTACTATTAGTTGCAATAAAGCTTGTATGTTGCTTATGGTAGGTATCCCCAATATCACAAGTCCTTGTTCTTGCTAATCCGTATTTTGAAATGGATGTAGACAGTGGATCAACAAAAACAAGCTTGAAACATTTCTACATGACTGCTTCAGGCCCACATCGCCCTTCAGTAGTGGCAGAATGTCTACTGATGTTTCACCCAGAATTTCACCTTCATACAACTGATGTTCCAAACTAAAAATATTTTAAAGGCTTTAAAAAAGAAGTGTTTTGCAAACTTACAAATAGCCCAAATGGATGAACCATGTTTCCGATGAGAAGTATCTACAGGTATAGTGAAAAAAAATTAAGATGGCAGCCATTATAGTATGATTGATGCATATAACAACAGCTGGAACTTTGATTTCACTTTGTTGTGGCTGTCATCTTTACTTTTTTTAACCACACTTTGCGGACACCTCTGACGCCAGCTTTGGTTGATAGCAATAGCAATAGCACTTAGACTTATAAACTGCTTTCCAGTGCTTTCCAGCCCTCTCTAAACTATTTCACAGTCAACATATTGTCCCCAACAATCTGGATCCTCTTTTTACCAACCTTAGAAGGATGGAAGGTTGGGTCAACCTTGAGTTAGTGAGACTTGAACTGCCAGCAGCCGGCAGTCAGCAGAAATAGCCTGCAGTACTGCATTCTAACCACTGTGCCACCTTAGCTGTTCTTTTAAAAAATCTGATATCATCTAATAATTGGTCCACTTTTGGCAAGATTAAACACAGTTTTAGAATACCATTAAAGCATTGCCTAAAAGAAGCTGACTGTGATCTAGTCAGGCTTTCTTTAATGCATTCACAAAAAATATTTATGAGAAAAGGAAGCAACTTTTGACAGATGGTTAGACTCTCAAATCTAGCCATTGGACAAAGTCTGCCTTCTCCAGCCCCAGCCTCATCTCAAATTAAGAAGCAGTGGATGTTTTCCCACTGACTGGTAATATTTGCTGGGGCAGATTTTAAAAAAACAAAACAAAGCAAGGGAATCAAGCAATGGCTGCTTTTAAAGTGTCCTATAAACTGCAAATGAAGACTTAGCATCAGAATGGCTATTGAGGGCAGCACACATTTTATGTCAGCTAGTTTTCTATCACCTCAAGATCTGGCAAGTAGATAATTTTACTTCAGTTCTCTGAAAATGACCAAAGCATGGGCATCTGGAATAAACCACAATACCCCCCACCAGCACAAATGACAAAAATGATGGTGTTACAATATGATTTACAGCTTTTTACACATGTCCTGATGTTGGCAAAGTATAATGGTCACAGGGTTTGAGATCATAATACACACCTTATTTGATCCCTTGCCCAAATCAACAGCAAATACTATGCTGATTATACCGTAAATACTGAAGAGAATGGATACTTCTCTTAATTAGAGATATAGAAAGATAGATGTAGGAGGACACTACAGTTGTTTTGTCATCAAATATAACACTGCAAAATTTATTCCCATTTCCCCCACATTTCTTCTTGTATTAAAGAGCTTCTTCCACTTCTCTTTAAATAGGCCACTGGTTTGACCAATTTAGGGCTTTCCTTATGTTATTTATGACAAGATTTGAAAAAGTGGCTTCTCTTCTTTCTTCTGTTACCATGAATTAATTAATGGACTGGTGGTTAGAAATTAGATGGTTGGATGAGATTGTGGAAATTTAAATTCAAACAATCACTTAACCATGAAGCTCAACAAGTGAATAAATGTGCAGCAGCAGTTAAGAGCAGGTCACCACCAACAAATGAAATATCATTTGCTAGCAAAACTACCTCCCAGTCAAAAAGTACCATCCTTCTCTACAAGATGATCACCCTAGGAGGAATGAGACTGACCAAATTCCCCCTGGGAATTTCCAGTTCCAAAGAATGGAATCACCTTCTGAGTATGCCTATCTCTAGTCCCACCTAGTATTTGGAATACAATTCTTGGCATGTTAATATTAAATAGTATTAATTGATCATTTGATCCCCCAAATACTATACATTACATTACAGCTAGATATCTAGATTCAGTAGTATTGAGCATCCATGTAAGATCCTATTCTGCATGTGTAAAAAAGGCAACATTTAAGTTTCATCCTTGAACCTTCTGGGGCTAGGCTCATGATATGAGGGTGTGTGCCTTCTTGCATTCCTAATAGAGACATTTATTGCCATACCTGGGGTGAAGCTCTATTAGTTGGAGTGTCACCAGACTAAGGTGACCTGAGTACAAATATGCATTTGGTGACAAAGCTCACTAACTGATCTTTGGTCAATCACTGTCATCCTAACCTTTCTCAGAGTCATTATAAAACTAAAGTAGCAAAAAGTCTGTCAGATACCTTGAGCCATTGGGAAATAAAATGTGTTATTAGTGAAGCAAGCAATATTCCAGCTGTAGAGTACGGTAGCTGGAGCAGTAGAGAGGCAAAGTGCATAGTATTGGAGGAAAGAATAGATGAATGTGTTAGTGATTTCGATTTGATGTTTTTCAGCTGCTTTGTATTTCAACTTTTATAATGTTTATAATTGTTTTTATTTTATTTTAATTGTTTTCTACCCAGTCACTTGATGAGATGAGCAGCAGTATAGTTTCGATCAATCCATCAATAGATAAGATGAACATTCAACTCTGTAAGTTTTTAATAAATAGCAGGGTAGCCTAACTCTGGTATTGCTTTCAGGAACAAATACAATATTCTTATAAGTGTTTATCCAGTTGATAAACATACAATATAGTATCAGACTTTTAAGAGTGAGATGTACTTTTACGAACATGGTGGCTTGGTGGATGAGAAACAGGTTTGGACAAAGTACAGTAGAAAAGCTGCTTAATTCTTTTCATTTTATTTCTATTTCAAAAAAGGGTGGTAAAAGTTATTACCTGGAGTTACCGGTAATTCCTCTTATCAGTTTAGCAATAGGAAATTGTTGAGTACATATTCATATGACCTCTGCATCTTTTATTTTCTCTATGTATGATGACAATCTTAAGAGACTTTTGATTTGATGTAATGAATTGCAATTTTTAACTTTCCTCCTGCCACCAGCTTCACAGTGATTGTTACAGAAGGCCAAGTGCAAAGTCAGAAAATCAAGCTACTTATATCTGCACACAGTTGAGATGCTTACTAGTTTTTCAATCAAGCCAAGCTTCTTTTTTTCTTGATGACAAGATATCTTTGGAGTTTGTTATATTTAGAGCATGTCATTCATCATTCACTTTTCCTCTTTTTCCCCCATAAATATTTATGTAATAAGAGGACCTAGACTTCCGTTCTTTCACAAATGTACTGTTGCAGCATAGCTGTGGTTCATAGCAGGGTGTTCCAGTTTTTCTAGAGATAAGAGGTAGATCTTTAGCTATGGCACATACCCTTCAGACCATTAATCATACTAATTGGTACTTATTTGGAAGCTCTGCTAAAAAAAACCCTTTGTTTTCTGATCTCAACTTTCACACAGCTGCCTAAATTGCCAAAAAGGTTTAATCTTGTTATAATCATATTGTATACTGTCAGGATTTGGTCAACATAGCAGTCTTTTCAATAACTCTAAGGTAACTTTATAGATTTAAAAGCTGACTTGGGATGAATGCTTCAAAATTCAACCTTTTAGAGAGCTCATAAAAACTTAAATAATTCTTAATCAGATATTCATTAGTGATTCCTGGTTTTGCTGATGCCTCCAAGTAAATATTGTAGGCACATATGCATACATAAAATATAATGGCACAATCCTCTAATTCAATTTTATGTCATGCTTTTGCTCTGTTCTTTTACTGTCTGCTGCATATTAGCTGAAAACTGTAATTGGGAAATGATCCTTTTTAGGCATAGAAGAAAATGGGTAGATAATGGAAAGTCAGCAAAAGTACAATTACTTTGGGTGAAGAAAGGGAATTACAAACAATAGGAAAAAAATAGCCAGTACTGTATATGCCATTGATTGAAAGAAAACCCAAGATGCACCTGATCAATGATATGTAAGGATGTAGTTGGGTATGTGATCAAAGAGAAAAGAAGCAATTCAGATAAGTCCACGAACCTATGTGGATCTTGGAACCAGAGAGCTGTTTAAGACCCCCCTTCCCAAAGTCTAAGGCCTCTTAAATGATACAAGTTTTTCCAGATCTCCCTTCTGATAATGTCCCGGGGGATAGATACCCCCAGGAATTGGTTTATTATAAGGTCGGTCATAGGATAATTGTTCCCTGCATTCAAACAGATTCCAGAGCAGAGTAGTAAAAAAAGATTATACTTAAGGGGCTTCAGTAAGAGGCAAGAAGGGAGGAACAAATGATGGCTCATGTATAACATCATCATTTAAATACCATGACTTACGTACTTGCATTTGTCAGCCATACCTGGTAGACCAGACAGGAAACAACCAGTTAAATTAATTCTACTTTATTGTAAAGTTACAGTAATAGAATCTTGCAAGTCTGAAAGTACAATTCTCCTGCCACTTCCTTTAAAGCCTGAGAAACTAGGGAGGGTCACTTCTGAGCCTCTTGTCTCATCCACTATTTCTCCAGGCTACGCTATTTCTTATCTGACCATTCCCTAGGCAGTATCTCTTCACCCTATCTTCCAAAGTCTTTTCCACATACTATTACACATTGGGCACTGTGATGCAAGCTTTTAACCATGGCATTTACATGATTATGTCATTGAGCGAGTGTCATCATCTTGGTGTCATTGCGGTTTGTTATGAACATTGTTGAACATATTGCAATTAACGAGAAAGTAACATATCATTCCTTTATAATAAAAAAATGATCTCAGCTAATGCTCTGTGGTTGCTTTTTTAAACTGTTCGAGGTTAGGCTTGATGAACTACAAATAAATATTTTTGTGAAACATCCTTTTGGTATCAAAACATTGAGGGAGGAAGGGAGAGAAAGGAAGGAAAGAAGGAAAGAAAGAAGACTGTTCAAGTTGACATTTCATACTGTGGCAGCAGCTGTCAGAGTAATAGGATTTTTGACAATCGGGAAGGAAGAAGAGTGTGAAGCCAAAAAGAGAGACGGAAGTAAAGCTCTGCCAATTCAGGGAATGCATTGTAATGTGCAACCAAAGGAAATCCTAATAGTGCTGTGAACCTCCTGACTCTGGTGAACACAGGAAGTTGCTTTATGCAGTGTGAGAGCATTGGGCCATCTCATTTCGTACTGTTTACATTGACCAGCAGTGTCTTACTGTTTTGCAAGGGACTTCCCCTTCTCAAACTGGAAATGCTAGGGTTTGAACCTCAGGCCTCTTGCATCCTATTGTTTGTTTATATCATTTTCCTGTTTGTAGCGTGCACCACAATTTATTTAGCGCGGAAAAGCAGGATATAAATTATTAACAGTATATTTTTTGTTAAGCAGCAGCAGTTCAAACACTAGTTTCCTTGTAGGCCTTGGGTTTTTCAGTGTTTTCTTTCTTTCTTCATAATAAAAATCAGCTTTTGGTTATACAATATACATTCCCTCTATGCCTTCAGTTTATATAAGGATACAGTGGCATAGATCTCATAGATATATGTTCAAGATTATAGCCAATTGATTGACAACTTCTTAAAAGTGTTATGCATTCTGCATTTACCCATAAGGGAAAAAATGATAGGATTTTCTCTCAATTTGAATATTTTAGATAAAGTGCTTGTTTTAATTGGTCATGTTTGTATACTTCGGATCAACTGATTATAAAAGTACTTACATTCTAATGTATGCTGAATGATGCATATCTACAAATAACATAAAGCAAAGCTACCTATTCCATGACTAAATTTAATTAACAAGAAACAAACAACTGCCAGGGTTCTTGACTTACATTTATATTCATTTAGCAACCATTCTAAGTTACAATGGCAGTGAAAAAAGTGACTGATGACCAGTCCTCACACTTATGACTATCACGCCATCCTCACAGTCATATGAGCAAAATTTGGGCACTTGGCAACCAGCATGCATTTACAACAGTTGCAGCATCCTGGGGCCATCATTTGTGATCTTCCTGGCTGGCTTCTGACAAGCAAAGTCAAAGAGAAAGCTAGATTCATGTTATTCACTTAACAAATGCAATGATTTGCTTAACAACCCTGGCATAAAAGACTGTAATATCAGGCACAGCTCATTTAACAATTCCCTTACTTAGCAACATAAATTCTGGAACCAATTGTAAATCGGGGACAGGTAGTCCTTGACATATGGCTACAATGAGTCAATACAATACAGTGAAAAAGAATCATAAGTCACTTGTAACTTTGGTCACTGAATGAATGGTTGTAAATTGAGGGGTACCCGTATTCCACTTATCTAAATGATGTAGCAACTTGCACCTACTCATTGTACAGTGGTTCTATTTCATTGGCTTGTAGAACCAATGCAGATTTTGCTAACCTGGCTTCTTGCAGATATATTAGGACTGCAATTCTCAAATTCATCACAAGAAGTAAATTAGGAAAGATTTACATGCACCCTCCCTCCTTTCATTTTGCAATGAAACTCTACTGGGCTGTACACGCTTAAGATGGAGATACTGATTTTGCTTCTGTATGTTCTTGCTTTTCTGGTACATTAGACATCTGAAAAATATAATAACTTTCTTTAACTAAGCAAAATATTCTAAATTCCTTTAGTTTAGAGAATGCCCAGAATTTTATCTGAATACATCCGAAGATGTGTGAGACTGGGGAAAAAATAGTCTAGAAAATGAATGATGTATGGAATGCAGAGTTTTAAGCATTGCCAAGGTGTAATTAAAAAAAATAATTCAGCTTTTTAAAAATATAATTTTTATTGAAAGTTTTAAAAACAAGTAAACAAAAAAAGTAAAAATCAATACGATCTAAAGTGGAATAAGAACGAAAAAAGGAAGAAATACCAGGGAAAGCTAAAATGAAAAAAGAAAAAAGGTAGAAAAAATAAAAAAAGATGCAAGAACCAGCATTTGGTCTTCTTTACAAAAGTTACAACTACAATTGTAAATTTACTTCTTTTCTAAAGAATCATGCTTCTTTTTCCTATAATCTATCCTATCTAACCGTCAGAATCACAGAGTTCATTTTTTTCTGTTCATGGAAAAAAACTCCATAAGGAATTACCAGTCAGCAATAAACAGGTATTATCTTCTCTCTGATTAGCCAGGTCAATTTGGCCATTTTAACAAGTTCTATCACTTTCAATAATACTTTCATTATAGGTATTGCCAAATCTTTCCATCTTTTTGCATATAGCAATTTCTCTGCGGTTATCATATATCTGAAAAGTTTCATGACTTTTTCTCCAACTCTTTATCAATCCCAAGAAAATTCCTGATTTTAGTGGTATAATTTTTACAAACCTCCAAATCAATATATTTGCAAGTTTCTTTTTTGCACAACCATCAAGCATGATAAAATGACCTTATTGTTTACATTTCCAACGTAGATTTGAAGTACCTTTATAGTCTAAGTAATTTTTCTGATGTCATATATCTATGGTACATCATTTTTTTTAAAAAAAAATTCAATAGTTTCAACCACGTATTTTCCCATTGTTCCATCTGTATATTGTAACCAAAATTCTGAGCTGATTTTATACATTTTCAAGTTTCAAATTTCAGTAAGTTTATATATTTTAGTAATCACATGTTCATTTGTTCATTTTAAGTCAATCTGAGAAATTTTTGTCTTTGAATCTTTTTGATAACTGTAAATAAAAAAGATTGACAATTATGCCCCTCTGCCATCAGTTGCTTTCTTGATTTTATTTTGTATTTCCCTTGACAGAATTGAATCCCACAGTATGTAAACCATTTGTTTTGTGTATTATTTCTCATCTATAAAATGCTTATGTCAAGAACCAAAAAGATGCTCTTTCCAACGACAATTTTATTTTTCTTTTTAACTTCATCCTATGTCTTAACAAAATTACTCTGATATAACATATAATTCATATTTGTCATGGGGATAACCAAATATTTTACTTTTTTCTCAATCTTAAAACCTGTTTTCATCAATTCTGCTTGAACCTCTATTTCCACGTTTTTATTGTCTTAAAACCTTAAAATCTGCTAGTGTAGCAAATTCTTTTAATTTTTCTATTAATATTTCTATTCCCTCTAGGGGTGTCAAACTGGCGGCCCACGGGCTGGAAATGTAATGCCCAGGCCACGCCCACTCCAGCTCCGCAAAGGGGAAAAATGTTACAATAAGTCATGTGACAGCAACATGACACAGCGAGTTTGACACACGTGCTCTAGTGGATCCTTCAAAACGAACACCAAATCAGCAGGAAATGCCCTTAATTTTTTTTTTAATCTTTACTCCCACAATTTTTTCATTTTGCCTTGTATCTGCATTCAATATTTCAAGAACTGAAATAAACAGGAGACAATAGACATCTCTATTTTTTGGTATCACATGGGGTTTTGTTAGATTTCCATTGACATTACTGTATTTATGCTTTCTATGAAGTGCAAGTCAAACTTATTTAATAAAATTATTTCCAAAATTATATCTTCAAAACTTTAAACAGGAAGGCCCAATTCAAACTGTCAATTCTTTAATCTAGCTTTTAACCGGTTTAAACTAGCTAAGCTCTTGAGAAGTTTAAACATATATGTGGAAAAATAGATAATAATAGGGTTCACCCTGGTTCCATTTTGTGATGTTGGTAGATGTTTTTGTTTTCCCTTTTCTGGATCTCTTGCATAAAGTGCAAGAAGGAAAATGTTTGGTCAGCAAGTCAAACATAAATGTTTAGGGTGTGTGTATGTTTGTTTACAACTTATTGCCAGGTGTTTCAACTAAACATTTAGATCAAAGAAAGTCATAAAATCAATGTAATATATAGTCAATAACAAACATTACATTCAAACAAACATACATTTCAGACAGGGTTTATTTGATCAAAACATAATTCTATGCCAAAATACTTCATGCAAAGTAAAAACAAAACATTATGGTTTTGCATGTGTGAACTTAATTACTTGACATGAGTTCTTTTTTATCATTTTATTTATATACTACTTTATCAACTTCTCTAATAGACTGCAGGGTCTCAGATATTTCTTTTCCATTTTTTAAAAAAAGAGTAGATACCAGGACTGAACTTATGTTCTGCTTTAAATATACATTGTACACTGGACTAAACTAGTAATCTTTCTTCAGGTGTTTTAAATTGTGCAAGGTCTACATATGAGTAAAGAAATACAGATAATTTTGTTCTATCTCTTGGCATTGATTTCCACCTCTATTGATGTAGCCTTTCCACATGGTTTTAGTTGTTAATGTGTTACAATATAGTACCAGGAATAAAGAGATGAAGATGCAAATGCTCATTTGATCCTTAATCTCTCTGGGAGACTTGGTCAGTCATTATGTTTCAGATAAAGCAACTTCACTGAAGATAAAATTTGGAGTGAAACTTCTGGAGAAGGAGATTGTAAATATAATAAACAAGGAATTAGCTGCTAGAAATTCAAGATTATGAACTTTGTGGGCATTTTGATGAGTACTGTTTTCCCATTGCAGAAAAATACAGCAGACAGCATAGGCAGAAATAGCATATTAATAATTCTTGTTCTCATTTCTAATGTGTAGAATTGACATGTATTAAACATGCTGGAAATGAGCAATATACTTACTTAGAACAAGGGCATAATGGTGGAGTTCACACATGACATTAAGTCTGTTAATACATTCAAATAAATATTTTTTTAAAAAATAAAATTAGTTGTTGCCTTTTTTCTGCTCTATTTTTTGTCCTGCTGCAATACTCTTTTTGAAATTTGGCCCCCTGAAAGAGTTGAACACCCCAGCCTTAAAAGAAAATAATGGAAATGAAATGTAGGCCACCTCTTAATATGAAATTGCTAGCCATGTGAGTCAAGTTATCCAAGTTGACTAGTGCCAGCAAAGTGGCAGGCAATTGTGTTTCGTTCACCTCCATCATGGCCAGTTGGCTCATTTGGGCCCATTATTCTGCGTCAGTCCAACTTATTACAGATAATCTTGATTTACAACCACAAGTGAGCACCAAATTTCTGTTGCTAAGTGAGGCAGCTGTTAAGTGAGTTTTGCCCAATTTTATGACCTTTTTGCCACAGCTGTCAAATGAATCACTGCAGTAGTTAAGTGAATCATGTAAGCGAATCTGGCTTTTTCCACTGACTTTGTTTGTTGGAAACCAGCTGGGACAGTTACAAATGATGATCACATGTCCCCAGGACAGTGTAGCTGTCATAAATGCCAGTTGCCAAAGACCCTTATCTTGATCACGTAACTGTGGGGATGCTGCAATGTCCTAAGTGTGAAAACCAGTCAAAAGTCACTTTTTTCAATGCATTGTAGCTTCAAATGGTCACTAAATGAATGGCTTTAAGTTGAGGACTACCTATATACAGCATTGCTGAATGTTGACAGCCAATGGAAGGATGGAGCACAGTATATATTGCCTTCCTAGGAACAAGGAAAGTTGTAAAACTAACAAGGCCCAGAACCATAGAGTTCTGGGCCTCTTCAGTTTACCCTAAACTTTCCCCAAGAGATGGCTGCCTAGTCTCTCTTGAATATATCCAGCAAAGAGCAGCCATCTCTCCTCTTGACTCTCTTACTATTAGGACTTTTAATTGAAAAAGGCTATCCTGTAATTGAAGGCCATTATTCTGTGTTGTCTCTGGGGGAGGGCTGAGCAATTATGGCCCCTTTGGCAAACTGGAGGTGAAGTTCACAGCTCACCAAAGGAGGAATAGTTGCCCATCTCTGCTCTGGGGTGGAGGAAAAGACAATGGCTTTTTTTGGTGCCACTCCTCCTTGGGCGGGGGTGGGGTTGGACTAGATGACCTACCAGCAGTGGTGAAATTCAAAATTGTTTACTACCGGTTCTGTGGGCATGGCTTGGTGGGCATGGTGTGGCTTGGTGGGCGTGACAGGGGAAGGATACTGCAAAATCTCCATTCCCACCCCACTCTGGGACCAGCCGGAGGTGGTATTTGCCGGTTCTCCGAACTACTCAAAATTTCCGCTACAGGTTCTCAAGAACCTGTCAGAACCTGCTGGATTTCACCCCTGCCTACAAGGTCCCTTCTAACTGGGGGCCTTGTAGGTCACCTAGCCTGGGGTCTGGAAGACTGCCACCTCATTACACCTTTAAGAACTCCCTCTTTGCAACTTTTCTCAACACCAAACCTACATTCCCCTGCCCCTTCCCCTCCCTCAGGAATGTTGGTTTCTCACAACCTGGCTGTACATTCGTTTCTCACAATGGGAATCGCAGTGGGGTGACAACCTAAAGGGCAACAGTTTTTAGGAAGACAACCGACTCTCCCCTTCCCTCTCCCACAGTAGAGAGAACTGCTTTGTCCCGAGGCTGCAGGAGTTAATAAGCCTTTTCCCAGGAAGAGGCCGCAACCGGAGACTCTTCGGGCTTCCTTCTTCCCAGCCTCCCGCCACCTCCCCCTCTCCCCCAAACCGTCGTGTCATCCGGCCGTGTCGCCAACAACAGCCGCCGTCGCCTTTTTTCCCCCTGCCCTCCCCTCCCATTGTTTCTTCGGCACCTTGGCTAACCGCAGCCGCGGCGTTTCATAAATCTATCAGCGGGTCGGCCGAACCGAAAAACTTGTCTCGGGATTCGGGCGCAGGAGGCTTTCACCTGGCGCCGGAGACGGGGGCGAGCGGGGCTTGGGGGTGGGGGTGACGCGGGGCAGAGGGAAAACCCACCCTTCCTGTGGGAGCGAGCGAGGATGAGCCGCCTTCGGTTTCCCCCCTCCGCGACGGTTGCCGCAGGATTGCGACAGCGCGCGAGAGGGGATTAGCTGAGCCGCCGCACGTAGCTGGCCAAACCTTTTCTCTTGGGCAACGCGCGCGCCCAGAGAACGCGCCGCTTTCTCACAAGGCCTCCCTGACGCCTCAAGGGGGGGAGGGGAGTAAGGGGGGGTGGGCAACCGAACGTCTGCGAGGAAGGGGGAGGGCCCGTCAAGCTGCGCGCGCGCTGCGGCCGTTGCTGGTTCGGCTGCTTCGACCGTGTATGGTCATGTTCGCTCGCTCCTGACTGGCACGCGGGTTTTGAAATAAATAAAAGGAACGGGCGAGCGAGCGACCAAGGGAGACCCTGCGTTTACTTTTCTCTTCAATTAACACACACACACACACACCACACATACACACACCTTGGCTAAAGTTGCGCCCGCGCATATGAACGGATCAGTGAAAGGCTGAGGGGGTTTCTTATTCGCTCGACCTCTGCAGTTGGAGGACACTTTGATCTCGGATTAGTTTTGGGAGTGGGTTTTTTACACCTTAGCTCAGAGGTCTTCAAACTTGGCAGCTTTAAGACTTGTGGACTTCAACTCCCAGAATTCTCCAGCCAGCATAGCTAGCTGGAGCCAGCATAGCTAGCTGGAGAATTCTGGGAGTTGAAGTCCACAAGTCTTAAAGCTGCCAAGTTTGGGGACCCCTGCCTGAACGCAGTGTGCCGCAAGTCAGTATGCGGGAGAAACTCAGAAAGCTTACTAACACGGAATACATGAGATTCCTTACCTTACTAGTACGGTAGATATATAGGATGTGGTGGGGGTAGGTGGTTAGGTTGATGTGGCAACCTGTTGTGGTTTGTAAAGCCAAAATTGCATGCATGAACCTTGTCTTCTGGCTTACTCGGCAAACCGTAGTTTATAGTGATGCACGAAACCCACCATTTATGTGTGAAAATGCACCAAAGGATATGGGCAATGTATTTTGGAGATATCCCAAAGATGCTTTTTCAAGAGGCAAACTTGGCTTTCTGGTTTTTCTTTGAAGACGGTTTGCTTTTCATCCAAGAAGCTTCTTCAACTTCTTTGGTTATTCCTTATTACTGAAACAAGGAGCTATATTGGACTCTACATTTTAATCAAAGGATGGTACTCAAAGTTATACCATTTTTCTTCCATCCCTGTTGCCCCAAACAAATGCTATTTTTCTTATGTTACCCAACTGGGATGATAAGACATAAAACACTCAAACATTGTCTATGTAGATTTTCAATCATCCAGGTCATGGTTGTCCCAAAGGTGCTTTTCAAAAGACAATTGGACTTTCTTAGTCTTTTTCCTTGAAGATGTTTTGCTTCTCATGCAAAAAGCTTCTGCAGTTCTGTCTGAATCACAGGGACTGGAAGGATTTATATTCCTTAGCAGCTAAGGAATATAAATCCTTCCATTCCCCACCATTCAGAAAGAACTTAAAGAACCTTTTTGGATGAGAAATGAAATCTCTTCCAGGAACAAACTAAAAGGAAAAACACAGGAATGTTAGTTGCCTTTTGAAAAGCATATTTCATGATATTTGGGGGACACGAGCCCAGTTCTACCAAAGCAGCTTGCTTTATTCTCAAACAGGATTTCCTTAGGAGAAGAATGGCAGAATTTCCATCAGGTTCCTGAGCCTTCTGTCTCATCCACACTCACTCCCCAAAAAGTACACTGCAATTTCGGAACATTACTTGAAGCCTGTAGTACGTATCTTTCTTCCATGACTGAAAAGCTGTTAAAAACTGATTCTATCTTAGATTATTTTAATTTAATGAATTTCTGAACTTGCCTTTAAAATCTATTCAGGGTGAATATTTTGGGATGGAATCTTCCAAGTTACATGCATAAAGAAAATTCCATTGAACTTCCACAAGGGTACCAATAGGGTTTTTTTTTTCTTTTTAATAATTACAACACTGGTTCACCATTGGCATTGACCAGGGGTGTCAAACTCGATTTCATTGAGGGCTGCATCAGGGTTGTGTTTGACCTTGGATCAGGTGGCCACTCAACATCACTTGGGGGCGCCTGTGGTGTCCTGAGCGCTCTGCCAGCGACTCTGTTTTCAGCTGCAATGGCCTCCTTCAGTCATCTGTCAGCGAAAACGGAGCTCAGGAGGGCCACCCTCCCAAGCTCCATTTTTGCTGGCAGAAGCACTGCAAGCCAGTCCGTTGATTCCAGGGCAGCCCTGCAGCCCAGATCTAAGCACCCTGTGGGCTGGATCCAGCGCTGGGCCTTGAGTTTGACACTCCTGGCATTGACAAAATCACCATCTGTCAATTGCAAGAGGCAGTTTTATTACAGTTTACAGCCTGCAATGATATATTTAACACCATCAAACAACATCTGCCTATTCTAAGTCTCTGGAAAGGACTCAGTAGGTGGATAAAATGCCATATCTAATCTAAACATCTGGTTAATAGTGTGACCAACCATAACAATAAGCTAAAGAAATATTTTCTTCTGTATATATTGTTCACCTTAACCTGCTCTAGTGCTAAATCATACTAATAATTGAACTCCCCCCAATTTGGAAAGTGTTTGGCAATCACTGAAGGTGTTTTGCTATAGAACAGAGAGAGAGAAATTATATCAGGAATGTTGGCAAAGTACACACAATAGTCAAAATGGTGGTTGCAACAGTGCAATTGAAGCTCCACCTGGTTTTTATGTGCATCATATAAAAAACCAGGCAGAGTTTCAGTTGCACCATTGCAACCACCATCTTGACTTGCTTGACCAAACAATACTAATATATATGCACATATAATGTACAATACTAATGCCCTTGGATTACATGCCATTTTAGTGGTAATCTCTGAGGTAATACTTCCATGGTGTATACTTATACGTTCAAAACAACCATCAGTTTTGCACATTATTTTAATCAAAATATAAATTGCAACTATAAGTGTTGGTATGAAAGCTGCTTAAAAGGCATATCCACATTTCCTGTTTTGGTCTGGGCAAGAATTTGACAGTCTGTAGCTGAGTTCTTTGGAAAAGAGAGGTTGCAGCTTTGGGTTTTGATTTTATTCTCGTGCCCTATTTTTTCCTTTTGCTAACTTTTGACATAACTAGTGCAATCTCTATTCACCTATCCTTACTTCTTTTTCTCTTTTTTATGATGCTTGCTCTTTAAAAATGCACATAGAAATAGATAGATTTATTTATTTATTTATTTATTTATTTATTTATTTATTTATTTATTTATTTATTTATTTATTATATTTCTATACCGCCTTTCTCCCATAGGACTCAAGGCGGTGTACAGTCAAGAAAAATATAGATACACAAACATCATAAAATTGCTAATTAAAATTATTATTATAACATATAATTAGATGCCACAAAGCCTGAATTTATCACTAGCAAAGAATCAGGGGAAAGAGCAAAATTAGTTTCCTGTTGGTTTTCAGGAGGTATGAACTTCCCTATTTTTTATTTTAGACACGTCCTATTAATATGCAAAAAAATGGAATACTAAAGGTTGAGATGAAAGAATACTTGATACGAAAATCCCCAAAACAGCTCTTTTTGCAGGAAGGTAATTCTTACAACACCTTGAAAGAATTTGAGAGGTTGCAATCAACAGCTTTATGCAATGGAAATGAGAAAATCTGTCCCTATTCCATTCTATTTGCAAGTATGACCACAATCACATCAAAACCACACTCTGATACTTTGTTAGTAGAACTGGGTGAAGAAATACAAATGTCCATTCACATTGGATTCCTACGTGAAACAAAAATTGCTAAGGAAATTGTAAATGGTCACTTATGGCATTTCTATTCATAGGAATTTGAATACATAAATAGAGAGTGTCTTCTATGTGAACTGGGAATCTATGTCCAATTGTGGGTTTCTAAGTGTGTTGTATTTCCAAATACATGGAAGTCAAAGGTAAAAATAAGCAAAAAGGAAAATGCAGCACAAGCTAGCTCTGTGGTAATATCAACACCTTTGCATAATATTGTCTCACAGTTTATATCTAGTGCAGGAATGTCCTGGGTGATTCAAACAGAAATTGTGAACATATAGCTGAACATACATATATCACAAAGAACAAAAACATAGCTGTAATTTTTAGACTACTTTCATCTGGCCTTTTCTTAAAGAAGAACCTTGTATGAGTTGAGAGAATATCTTTTCTGGCCAAACTCCTTGTGATAAAATATTTTACTTTTAAAAAATATTTAATTGTACCAGATTAATAGAAAAGCACTATTGATATATTAACAGTCTCACCAAAAGGTACAGAGATTGTTACATTGGGAATGATTCCTACTGACTACACAGAATATCTTTGAAAGGGTGGGGGGCTTTTTGGGGGGAGAGAGCATGGTTAGGACACATCTAATGTCTCTTTCTAGGATGTTTTCTAACTGTTCAGTTATCCACACCCCAGGGATTTCTTAGTAGTTTTCCACCCAGTGACATTAATCAGATCCAAGCTTGCCTAGCTTCCAAGTCAGATGAAAATAGGCCAGGCATTGCTACCACTTAGGCCAAAAGTGGGATATAACATTAGAGAAAGAAAGAGAGAATGAAAGAGAGAAAGAAAGAAAAAAGAAAAAAGAGAAAGAGAAAGAAAGAGAAAGAAAAAGAAAAAGAAAGAAAAAATATAAAACCTTCAAATAACTTAACCAAACTGCCGATAACCATGTTTCTTGACCCTTTCTCAAACAAAAAGAACAGTATTCAGATAACATACAGCATATAGCCATTGCAGCAAACCAGGTACACATTTATCTTTCCAGAGTTTTTATCATTTTTGAATTATCCCTCCTGTGCAAAAATTTCATAATTCTCAATGTACAGACAGTCCTCAACCTATGATAATTTGTTTAGTGACCATTAGAGGTTACAATGGTGCTGAAAAGGGTGACTTACAACTGTTCCTTGCACTTAACAACTGTTATGGTGTCCTCATGATCACATGATCAAAATTTGGGCACTTGCCAATCAGCATTTATTTATGATGGTTGCAGCGTGATAACCATCTGCAACCTCCCCATCCAGCTTCCAACAAGCAAAGTCAGTAGGGAAAGCTGGATTAGCTTGACAACTACGTAAATCACGTAATGACAGCAGCAAAAAAGGCTATAAAATTGGGTGCAACATGCTTAACGATTGCTTCGCTTAGCACCAGAAGTTCTGATCCCAATTGTGGTTGTAAGATGAAGATACCTGCACGTAAAATGGGATTTAGCCATATTTTTCTTTGACAGTTGGCCTAATTACGTGCTAGTGACCTTGTAATTTCTATCCCAAATGTGGCAATGCTTAAACATGCCCAGACTATGTTTCTTAATGTTCCAGGTCTTGAACTTCATATCCAATAGCAAGATGATTACAAGTAAGCCTTATTAAATATTCTCTGTGTAGTCCTACTTCTCTGCATTAATCTCATATGAAGAAGAGTTTTCAAAGTAACTTGCATCCTTCTGTTGATTTATAGTAACAGCTGTTCTTCTTTCAAAAGCTACATCAACAATTAATACCAATTTCATTGAATTCTTTCAACTTCTTGTAAAAATGGATCAGGAGTTCATTTGAATCATCTGAAACATTTAACGTGGAACTTCAGAAACAGTGTAAGGACAGGTCAGAGTAATCCAAACAGCAATAAACCTCTGGGAAGCATGCTTAATAAAATCAAAGTCAGTTTTAAATTGTAGAAAAGGTTTAAAATTGCTTTATCAGACTAGAATAAATTCATATGTGTCCCATGATCACAGGTCAGTAAGAAGAAATGTGTCAAACAACAAAGCCAGTAAAAAGCTTAATAAATACCCAGTAAAGAACCCTCACGCATTAATAATCTTCAATGTAAATCTGAATGTGATTTTCTTTTGAATGCAATCCGTACAAGGGTTGAGAAAGTATTGCCCGGAGTATTCTAGGTGCGCGTTTAATATGGCACAATCAGATCCCAGGGTTTCTTAGTAGTACCTGGGTTGCATAACATGACGATAAGGCATGCGTTTGTGCCTATTTATGGTAGTACATTGTGTTTTACAAACTGTGTTGCACACTGACCTTTGACCTCTTCCTTTTACTGTGGCTTCTTATTTTAAATATGCGTGTTCTTTAAAATGTTTTTATTTTTAATAAAAGAAGGTCCAGGCGGTTTATTGGGATGTTTCTTTTGAAGCATGAACGATTGTTTCAAAACAACCGTCCATCCTGAACATATTTTTTATTGCTCCATAAGGTCATGGGCTAAAATCCAGTAAGAGGAAATAGTTATTTACACTTTACCTTTAGAATGGCTATAGAATGCCTTGAAGCTATCTAATACAAATGGTTAACCCCCATGATAGTCAGGAATGCTCATTTCATTTCTAAAGATAGCCTAACATGTTTTTTTCTCATATTTTCTTCTTCCCCTTTGACCCAGAAAAATCCAGGTGGCCACTAATGATAAAGAAAGAATGGTTCAGCATGGTGAGTCCTAATTTTTTTTAGCAGTTTCCTTCATAGGTGTAATACAGGGGTAATTTATAGAAATCTGCCTTTCTGTATTACAGTAAAGCAAAGGAAAATTTAGTCACCTCCTGCTTAAAAAAACAAAATTTTAGTTCTTGACAATATTGTTTAAGATAATTATACATCAGAGCTATGAATGAATAACATAGTAATTAAAAGAAAGGATGTAAAATACATTATGAGGGTTAATTAGCCTTTGGGAGCAAGACTGCTTTCTAATCCCAAAGGTGCTTTTTCAGAGGCAACTGGGCTTTCTTGTTTTTTCTTTGAAGACATTTCGCTTCTCATCCAAGAAGCTTCTTCAGCTCTGACAGGATTGTGGAGAATGGAAGGATAGTGGGGAATAGAAGAAGAAATTGCAGACTACAGGAACCAGGAGCAGCACTACCCAGGTGATCCCGAAGGCACAGATAAATCTCCAAGTGCTTCAATGACCCTCTAAGTCTAAAAGGATGCAAATGACCAGCTGTCTGCAAGGAATAAAAATCCTTCCATTCCCCACTATCCTGTCAGAGCTGAAGAAGCTTCTTGGATGAGAAGTGAAACATCTTCAAAAAAAAAAACCAAGAAAGCCCAGTTACCTAGTGGAAAAGCACCTGTAGGACAACTATGACCTGGATGACTGAGAATCTCTACAGACTGCTTCCTAATCTTCTAGTCTTCCTGTTGTTGTTTTTACCTCCTCCTAGTTTCTTTTATATTCACCTGAAGTTAAAATATCACAACTTAGTAACTAAACTAAAGTGGGAGGAAACTGGAAGAAATGAAGTTGTTGACAAAATAAGGGCCAATATCAGAGATTGTGGGAAGAAATGACTTTGGTTGGTTGTCTACTTTTGGAAAAATAAAGTCCACCTCAAACTTGGTTCCATCTTAGGCGAGTTATGCAGAGAGAGTTGATATCAACTGCTAGATTATTCTGCCTTCAATTTTTCAGCACACAAAAATCTACTAAGAAAAGTGTAGGTTTCTAGTTTGGCCCTACTTATCTTTAGAAATTGTGAGTTCCTGCCCAAATTGGAGCATTCTGTATAACCATAACCAGTATATATATATATATAAATACCACAAATCACTGAGAGCAAATTCACTTAGAAAAAGGGTGGGGGGGAGGTAGCTTTTGATTTCTTTTCCCAAAGTAGAAAGCAAGAGCTCATTTGGCCTAGTGGCTAAGGCACCAGGTTAGAAAGCAGGAGACTGAGTTCAAGTCATGCCTTAACCATGAAAGATACCTGAATGATTTTGGGCCAGTCACTTGTTTTTAGCCCAACTCACCTGACACAGTTGTACTATAGTTGTAGAGAAAAAAGGAGGAGGAAGATATATTGGATAAAGGCAGATTGTTAAATAAATAAATACATACATGCATAGGAAAGAATGGGGGGGGAGTGAGAGTAATTTCACTGGAGTGCATTTCATATTTGTTGGGAGCAATATGGAAGCTCCTTTCCCATGTCAGGCAGCCAATAAATTTAAATACATAATAATGTGCCCAACAAGTAGTTTTCAGAAAGTGACAGCATTTTTAATAATGGTTCCCTGACTTATCTTAGCCTCTCAAAGGGTCGTATTTAGTGAGGCAGTCCTTAAATAATCTAGTCCTTAAGCCATTTAGGGCTTTAAAGTTTAAAACCAACTCCTTAAAATGCATTAGGTAAACAACTGGCAATCAGAATAGATCTTTTTACCATGTGTAATATGTTTGGGTCAATAAGAGTAATCAGTAGGACTAATGTGCTCATTATCATATGACTGAAGCTGTCATGCAGAAGATGTGGGCAGCTTTTTGAGGTTCAGTGGCCGTACTTCAGATGGCTCAAAAATAAGTTACAAACATATTTTTTTTTAATGAAAGATCAGGGCAAAAGAGAGAAGAACTTTTTACTGCTACAGCCACTTTTCATTTGACCACTACCTCAGTTAGTGACCATTCGCAAATAAAATGATAATTAACAGTAATTTAAGAAAAAGTGCTGGAAGTAGTAAAATATAGAACTAGCACCCATACAGCCTCTAGGACTAGGTTATGGGAGGCCAGTCTCCTATTTAATGCAATATAATAGAGCTAGCAAAGCACGGTGAATATACTTGTTTCTTTTTCAGAATAAGAAAAATACAAAACTGAAATCATATTTTGACATCAGTAGTCCTGGCACTGAGGACCAGTCATTCAGATAGAGACTTTGGAATTGAGGGCCACAATATACAGTTATTTACAGTATACTGTGGAAAGGTTAATAGGTTAAAAGTTATGGATTTGGGGATTAAAAAGAGTTAAAGAAAAAGGGGAAAAGTTAAGATGGCAATTGCTCAGTGGAAAGAAGGGTGGAAATCATAATTCTGTTTTTTGTTTCCTAGCCCTCCATAGAGATACCAAAGATTGACCCTAGATCTTTCTACAGGCACTGAGTTATTCCACAACTTGATTGTGTTTGTTTGTTCTTTGTGTGCGTGCATATAACCAATCAGCAAAAAAAAAAGGAATTGGACTGAATCACAAGCTTAACTGAATTTGTTAAGACGTATAAAAAGCCGCAAACATGCTATGCATTATTATGAAATACGCACTTGCTATTTAGTAGCTGTTAGTAAGAACTGGAGTTTTAGAAAATTCAGGAAGTCAAAGGAAGTCCATAACATTTTAAAGCAATAGTTCTGAGCATTTTCACCAGTGGTGAAATTGAGCGGGTTCTATCTGGCTCAGGCAAACCGATAGTGCTGGTGGCAGGAGGCTCCGCCTACCCACCCGGACGTCATCATGTCCCGTTTTTGACCCTCTGCGTATGCGCAGAAGACTCTGTGCATGCCTGGAGGAGGCATGCGTGCTCACATTTGCGAACCGGTAGCGAAGGTAAGTAAGTTTCACCCCTGATTTTCACCCAGTTTCTCACCCATTTTACTCCAAATCTTTGATCTGGAGCTCTGATTAATTTTTTTACTTACTTGTCATTTTCAAATCCCCTCTGAATTATCCAAAATTATAACATATAAATAAGCATATATTTACTGGGATAGGTCTGATAAAAAGTAAGCTGTAAATTTTCAAAATGCTTCGAAAACATGCACAGCCTTACAAAACAGGAACATAAGTAAAAATGATAACATTCTGATTAAACCATTGACTGCTGTTGAGCAATTTATCTGTGAGCATGATCAACTGATTTCCCACAGTTTAGAAGTCAGACTAAAAAGCTCAGTGTTTCAGAAGGATGTGATTCAACTAAAATGAACCTTAAAACTAGGGGTGTGAAATGTAAAAGGAAATGCTGTTAATAGTATGTGTTGCTTTTTTTTTTTTTATTTTAAAGAAATGCAATATTCAACCTCCTTTCTACCAAACCTTGTAGGGCATAATTTGGATAAATTGGGTAATTCAGGACTGTTTACCTTTAATTTTCCTCCAAATTTTCAAATACTACAAAAGGGTTCCACAGGGATCTTGTTCTCTACCCAACTCTAATATGGAATGAAGTTGAGGCTGAACTCTGCTAAAGTTAATTTTTCTTTTTTAAAAAAATAATTTTTATTGAACATTTTTTTTAATACAAACAAACAAACAAACAAACCTACAAACAAAAATAAATATTTACATCTTCTTTTCAACATCTTCGCATCAGTAATCTATATTTATACATTTTCTCTTTCTTATCTTAATCTATCTCTTATACATATATTCCTAGTATATCATATATACGAGAATATATATATATTCTCTTAATCTAAATATAAATAAAAAAAATATTCTCTTAATCTAAATATTTTATTTACATTTAACATAAACAGGTACCTAGTTTCCTTTCCATTATTTATATCTTCCCATTTGTTTCCATATCTCTCCACCTAATTTAATCATTGTTTAGTTTTCTTTTGTCCCCCCTTTTTTTTCTTTTTCCCCTTTCTCCTCCAACCATTTATACAATTTCTCCCAGACTAAGTAATAATCTGTATTTCATCTTTTTCTTGTATCTCCTTTGTGAGCTTATCCATTTCCGCACATTCCATAATTTTTCTAATCACCTTGTCTTCTGATGGTATGTCATTGTTTTTCCAGTTTTGAGCGAAAACTATTTGTGCTGCTGTCAATATGTGAATAATTAAGTATCTTATTTCTTTTTCATATGGCCCGGTAATTATTCCCAGTAAGAAAGTCTCTGGCCTCATTTCTATTTGTTGATTTATAATTTCTTCTATTTGTATTTTAATTGTTTGCCAAAATTGTTTTGCCTTCAGGCAGGACCACCACATGTGATAATAAGTTCCTTTTTGATGTTTACATTTCCAACATAGCGGGGAAGTATTTGGAAACATCTTTGCCAATCTGGCAGGTGGAAGATGCCACCTATAAAACATTTTATATATATTTTCTTTATAGGGTTCAGACATTGTTAGTTTGTAATTTAAAGTTAATTTTTCAATGCTTAGAGAAAGGACTACATATTAAGATATAGCTGCATCTTACCTGTGTGTCACAGAATTGGACTCCACTAAATCAGCACCTCAGATCTGTAAATCATATTTAGCCGTATTTGTCATAAACAATGATAGGGAATATTAGTCTGTCTCCGATGGAAACATCTTTGATCTCCCTAAGACTCATGAACGGAGTCTATTTTTCTGTATTAATGTTTTATATGTAAGTTCAGATTTATATCTCAAAATTTTTGCATAGTACAAATATATTATCAAGTGCTATGATAATATTTATAAAATATAATGGATTCTAATAGGATATATGTGTGTGTTAAAGGATTTGGGTGTTTTTACTGAATTATGTTTTGTTACACATTTGGTAAGCAATATATGGTCTGCTTGATTATTTGCATTAATGACAAAGTTTCATAATTAAAATAAAATTGTATAGTTTGGTTTAAGGTGACTGAACATGACGACAAAGAATTTCAGTTTACTGAATAGTAGCATAAAAGCCATATATAGATCAATATGTGTAATAATTTTAC